GCAAGCCACTCCCACTAGGTCACATGGCCAGCAAGCCACTCCCACAAAGGAGGCCACACCCACAGAGTAGGTTCCAAAAATGTTTGAAACCCACCACTGACACAAATACAACACACACACACACACACACACAAATATATCAGAGAGAGAGAAAGAGAAAGAAAAGAGAAAGAAAGGAAGAAATAAAAAAAATTAGAGAGATGAAAGAAAAAAAGAAAAAGGGGACAGAGAGACAAAAGGAAGGAAAGAGAGAGAGAGAAAGAAAGAACGAAAACACATGGCCGGCAAGCCACTCCCACTAGGTCACATGGCCAGCAAGCCACTCCCACAAAGGAGGCCACACCCACAGAGTAGGTTCCAAAAATGTTTGAAACCCACCACTGATATAAACACACACACACACACACACACACACATGTGTGCCAGGAGGTCACCAAGAAGAAAACTCACCATCCACCCAGCATCTGGTGTTTGCCCCACATCACCCAGCTCTAAGGCAGGACTAGAACTCACCATCTCCTCATGATTGGCCCAAAGTCACCCAGCTGCCTGTCATGCCTAAGAGGACTAGAACTCACTGTCTCCTGATGATTTGCCTAAAATCACCAATCATGCTTAAGAGAGGACAGGACTAGAACTCATTATCTCCTGGTGCTTGGCCCAAAGTCACCCAGCCAGCTTTCATAGCTAAAAATACTAGAACTCAACATCTCCCAGTGATTGGCCCAAAGTCACCCAGCCAGTTTTCATATCTAAAGCAAGACTAGAACTCACCATCTCCTGATGATTGGCTCAAAGTCACCCAGTTGGTTTTCATGCCCTAAAAGACGACTAGAACTCACCATCTCCCAGTGATTGGCCCACCCCGCTACTTTTCATGCCTAACACAAACTAGAACTTACTGTCTCCTGATGGTTAGCCAAAGTCACCCATTCGGCTTTTGTTCCTAAGGTGGGACTAGAACTCACCATTTCTTGGTTTCTAGGGCAGGCCATGGCATCTCATCTCCTGCCCTCCCGATGCCAACCTACCTCACTGCTTAGTTTAATTCTTGTTTCAACCTCCCACTTTAATCCTGGATGACAAGAGGAAGAGCAAATGGCTACCACTCTACAAAATCTGTGCCACGGCTATGCCCACAAGCATGGCACAAGTGAGCTGATGAGGATTCATAGAGAAGTGTTCTGATCGAGGCTTCCCCAACTGCACGAAGCTGAGTCCTCGTCCCGATAAACCCCTTTTATTTTATTTAATTTACAGTGAATTCCTCTTCAGCAAAGTATTTCCTCTCCCACAGTCTTTCAAAATAGTTCACAATTATTGACCTTTATCAGGCTTGATAGCTGCCAGGCTGATATCTTTCAGATGCCGCAATACTTGGCAAGAATGCANTCTGACTCCGAAGGCAGCTGATAACTGTCAGACGGCTCTGGCCCCCTCTCTGCCTCTGACACAGAGCCCTCGTCAGAGCCTTCCCCAGACTCCAGGACTGGCCCATGTTCTTCCCCAACCACCTCACTATCCGAATCTGCTACCAGCTCCGCTCCAGCTCGGGCCACAACATATTCTCGCCTTTTTTGCATGTCCTCCTTTTAGATGTCTTCCTTTTAGACTCCCGGCGTGATCCAGGGTCTTCTGCAGCTCTGCATCGGGTCCCAGAGGGTTCTTTTTGTTAGAGCTTTTGCGTTCAGTCTTAAGGTGATCCCGCCTTGAATTTCAGTGGTGTTTTGCTATTATTTGCATACGAGCGTATGCAGAGGAAGGGGAGGGGGGAGCAGTTGATGTACGGAGGACCTAGTATATATCATGCTGTTTCCGCACTGTGCAGTTTAAATGTCCCCCCATCCGGCACTTCCTTTCATCAAAATAAAAAATAACAGAATCTTGCCACGGTAGCGGTTCGTTGCGAGTGGCATCGGAGGTTTTTCCCCCTCCCTTTTATCACCCGCATTGTCTACGGCACCCCAGGGGGCTGTAAACCAGGCCGAGCCAAAGACAGCGCAGAGCGGTGTTCCCCCAACTTCTACCGAAGCCAATCATAACAGGCCTCCGTTGGATATTCAGTCCTCATAAAAACAGGCGCCGTCTCTTCCATCTCTGGGTACGTCAAAAGCTGGGCCTTTCCATCACGCCAAATCAGCGGTGCTCCCATTATTGGGGAGAACAAATCGGGCCATGGGGTGATTACGGATAGGGGTGGCTTTGCATCTCCCCAGAGGCACCCCTCTCTATGCCAAGGTGTACCACCTGGACTACCGTAAACCCTAGTTATCCATAGAAGATGCAGG